CCCCAAAACCCCAAAACCCCAAAACCCCAAAACCCCAAAACCCCAGTTAGCAAAGATAAAGGAAAGATCTTAATGAATAGATTATTATATATAATTGAGATGGCTGACAAATATAGAAGAGTCAAAAAGACTCAAGATCAACTCCCAGAGAATGAAATCAGAGTAAGAGCTGAAGTCGGAATTGGAAGATATCTTAGAAGAGCTAATGAACTCCTCACTGGCAAGATCCAAGGCCAAGACTCAGTTGTGATTAAGGGTATGGCTAGCGCTATGGAAAGTGCTGTCAAACTTGCAGAATTAATTAAGCACAGAGTAAAGGGAGTGTATCAATTGAATAACATCGAAACTCAAAGCGTTGTTGATGAATACGAACCACTTGAGGAGGGTCTTGATCACCTCAAGTTTGAGAGAAAGGTTACCATGATTACAATTCTTTTGAGCTTAGCTCCATTGGATTAACAAGCTCCAGGCCATCAAGAGCCAATCCCAGATAGCGAAGTTCAAGAATACAACGAAAGAGAAGACAGACCTCCCAGAGAAGGTGGAGATAGAAGAGAGAGATCCCAAGGCAGAAGAGGAGGCAGAGGTGGTTTCAGAAGAGGATTCCGTGGAGGATTCAGAGGAGGTAGAGGCGGCCGTGGTGGTTTCAGAGGAGACAGACCAAGAACTGAAGGTGCTGAAAACAGAAACAGAGATGGAGACAGAGTCGGTCCAAGAAACTATGACAGACCATATAGAGACAACAGAGAAGAAAAACCATACAGAGAAGATAGACCATACAGAGAAGAGAGACCATATAGAGAAGATAGACCATATAGAGAGGATAGACCATACAGAGAAGACAGACCATATAGAGAGGATAGACCATATAGAGCACCAAGAGAAGGTGATGACCAAAGAAGAGAGAGAAGACCAAGAAGCTCTTATAGAGAAGATAGACCACCCAGAGAGGGAGGTTATAGAGATAATTACGATAGACCACCAAGAGTAGGAGGTGATAGCTACAGACCAAGAGGCAGTGGCGGCTATAGAGGAAACCAAGAAGGTGGCAGAGGTGGCTACAGAGGAAATCAAGAAGGTGGCAGAGGAGGCTACAGAGGTAACCAAGAAGGTGGATACAGAAGTAATCAAGAAGGTGGAAGAGGTGGTTATAGAGGTAACCAAGAAGGTGGCAGAGGTGGCTACAGAGGAAACTAAGAAGGAGGAAGAGGTGGTCAAAGAAACTGAAATAATAAAAACCATCATATTTCGTTAAATTACAGAAACTACATCTCAAACTCAAATTACTATCTGCATTTGGGGTTTTGGGGTTTTGGGGTCTATAAAACAAATTTAAATTTGAGTA